GAGCGTTTATGCTTTCCGGAGAAGCACCATAGCTGGTGCCTGTGGTCGCAAAATTGCCAGATCCTGGGGTTGGCAACAGCTAACGCATAAAAGCCGTCCTTTATGTCGGCTGACATAGCTACATCCCCCGATCTCGCAACGTGCGCCAATTTTTCTAGACCCTCTGTTTGGTAGGTCTTCTTCTGCGCGTGAGCGTTTATGCTTTCCGGATTTAGAATCAATCGGCCTCTCTTTCCGTCGGATTTTGGTATCATGAAGGCTGAGTGTACCAAGTTGCCTCCCTGGCAACGTCGGATACTTCTGCCCTGTTTCAGTCGTAAAATTTCCGCCTGGATCATCGCCTCGTCCACCTCCGGAATTGTTATCCACCGACACTTGGGCCGCACGCCATACTTGATGGCCTGCATAAGCTCGTGGGATGCTCCGTTCTCTCTCCATTTCGCTAGGACACTTCTTACCTTGCAATACAGAGGGGCATTCGGATCGATCCTGGGACCACTGTCGTGCGGCCGTTGGGGAGTGTAAACTTCGATGGAAATTACTAGGTTTCAAACTGTATTAAACTAAAATACAATTTAGTCAGTTAGGATTTAGCAGTGGTAGCTTGTGTAAGAATGATCGGGACTGCCTCTTGTTAAGAGCCTAAATATCCTCAATCACACAGGGCGTACCTCTAACTGTTCTATATTGAATAATTTTCACTAGAAGTACTAAGTGTTCATGACCACATGCCTAATTTGTAGATAGACATAATAACGTAAGTCACGTTAATACATTAGCTGATATAAATAAAGTTCCATCTGAAGAAAAGTTAAAAAAAGAAAAAGACTTATTGGATTTTGGAGATTGGCGGGAGGACCAAAATTTATAAGTAGTAGTTCGGAGATTATAAAATTTAGTTTATAATTTCCTACATCTACTAATGTCTCAAATAGGTCCAAGTAGATGAGTCATACCAAATACTCAGGCTATTGGAGCCATCAAAGTGCATTTAGAACACTTTGGAAATATTGGAAAAAGAGCTTGTATTAAATTATTTAAAATACAAATAAAAACCAATGTATTATCTCAATTGATCTTGATATTTTAGACTGACCGGAGGCCGTATTTCTACAGGAGTTAGTCGTCCTCGGCCTAAATTTTTGCCTCGGACGATGCAGCGCGAGTTCATGCTGCTTTTTCTTCGTTGCTTTGACGAATTTTGAGATATATGAAGAATTTTGGAATGTGGGACGTACCTGATGCTCCACAAGAGATGCAAACCTAAACCCTAAATCAGTCTGACCCAAATCCTTGGCTAGGGCCACAATTACTCCACGATAAGCCTGCTCCCGATGCTCCACAGATAGGCCTCCCAAATCGATTTGCTTTAAATCCGTAATTAACAACATTAGATTGTTGAAGTATCTTCTTCAGTTGTTTTGCAACTCGTGGCTGTTCTTTGAGCAGCGCTTTAAATAGTTGAGTGCGAGCTTCAGATTTTCTTAGAGCTTTGAGTCTTTGATCCATGGCTTTAGCTAGTTCCATGTTTTTACGATCTAATGCCGCTTCAATCGGCATTACCTCGACTGCATTCTTGTTGGGTGCATGTGTTGTGCGAGTGTTGAGCTTTTGTTCAAACTCTTTAGACTCCTCTAGTTTAGCTAAGAACTCGGTTGAGGGTTTCCACTTAGTGGTACCTGCAGTACCGATGCGACAAACGATGGTGTGTTTCCAATGTGTCTTCTTAATAGAATAGGAACAACATTAGATTGTTGAAGTATCTTCTTCAGTTGTTTCGCAGCTCGTGGCTGTTCTTTGAGCAGCGCTTTAAGTAGTTGAGTGCGAGCTTCAGATTTTCTTAGAGCTTTGAGTCTTTGATCCATGGTCTTAGCTAGTTCCATGTTTTTACGATCTAATGCCGTCTCAATCGGCACTACCTCGACTGCATTCTTGTTGGGTGCATGTGTTGTACGAGTGTTGAGCTTTTGTTCAAACTCCTTAGACTCCTCTAGTTTAGCTAAGAACTCGGTTGAGGGTTTCCACTTAGTGGTACCTGCAGGACCGATGCGACAAACGATGGTGTGTTTCCAAGGTGTCTTCTTAATAGAATAGAATCCCTGATACAAGAACGTGTCGGTTTCACGGTCGACATAGATAGGCTCGTCATGTATCATATTAATTAAATCACGTATCCATGGGTCGGAGCTACATAAGGGACAACACAGCGGAATAGTAGATTTAGTAATATTATCATGATTTAACAACTATGCGATAAGTTGCCAAGTTGGGTTTGCTCACGCATTATGCTTGATAAGTCAAGTCGAAAGGCATCACCTTTAGGATGAGTCAACGACCTATAATCAGAAACCTGTTTGTTATGTTCTGCGGCGAACATATCAATAGTAAATGGACCCCATCTTGATTGAGCGAGGTTAAACCATTTCTTATTAAGCATCCAATCGGTTGCTAATAACTCTTTAACTGTTTTCTGGTAGTCAGGGACAAGTCGAGAGAGCATGTCAGGAAGATAATAATGTATTCCTGGTATGTGTGTAATGTTAAAAGCGAACTTAGCAATAATGTCATGCCAGCGGCTCACCAACTGGGAATCAGGGTTCATGTCCTTTAAAAATGTTAAAGACTTTTGATCACAGGCGAAAGTGAAGTAACTTCCATAAAGTTAGTCTTTAAGTTGTCTTAGCGCAGTAACAATAGCAAGGAGCTCTTGTTTAACGGTAGGGTAATTCCTTTGAATTTTATTATAACTCTTGCTAAAGAATTGTATGTAGCGTGGTTTACCATTTATCGTTTGGTATAGCACTCCACCTACCGCTCGATCTGAAGCGTCGGTTGCTACTTGGAATGGGACGTCATCCACAGGGTATTACATGATGGGTGCGTCTATTACTTTACTTTTGACTAGCTTAAATACATCATCACATTCTTTAGTCCAGAGCTTTCCCAAAGGCCCTTTGTGCAGTCGTAGGTGACTGAAAGGCTTTAAGTAATGAGAAAGATGAGGTACCGAATCCGAGAAGAAGTTAACAAACCCACACAGAGAGTTCACATCTCTTCCAGTAATCGGTGTTGATAAATCCAACAGAAATTGTTTCTTGCCAGGATCAATTTCTAACCCCTGCTGCAGATACCTTGTAGCCAAGTAAGTGTATAGTATCTTTAGCAAAAGAACACTTGTCCTCGTTAATCTTAAGTTTGGCATGGTTTAGTCGCTTTAAGACTTCCTGAACGAGTTTAGCATGTTCATATGCTGTCTTCGTATATACTGATACGTTATCCGACAAGTCCGCAAATAGTTCCATCATAACTTGTTGGAAGAAAGAAGGTAACATGTGTAAGCCTTCAGGTGTACCTTTAAACTGGTACTTCTTACCTTGCCAAGTAAAGGAAAAGTATTTCCTATGCGGCTCATATATTTGTAGTTGATGGAATGCAGCTTTTAAGTCTTCCTTGGAAAAGATAGTCACACCTTCCACTTTGCGTAGTATCTCGCTTATCTTTGGTAAGGGAAAACTATGTTGCGGAATTAGTTTGTTGATTGGCGACAGGTCTAGTACTACTCTTGTTTTACTAAACG